GACGAGACGTGTTTGTATATACAGTGTGATACAAGTTTAAATACAGTGATTAACCCAGCAGATAATCTCATAATTCTCCTACTGGATACCGTCACCACGAACATAATATCGTTTATAAAATAATACCTTACATCTATGTGTTTAGATCTCTTGTTCATCTTGCCGGTTTTAATTCTTGAAATGGCACTCTGATTATCCACTTGTAGAAGAGCTGGAAACTTTGAATTTGTCAGTTCTTGAAAAAGTGTGCTCACATACTGCAATTCTTTCACACACTCTGCAGCAGCTATATATTCTGCTTCAGATGTAGATGTAGCAACTATTTGTTGTTTATGTGAAGTCCAGCTGATTGGCCCTCCAGCATACATCAAAACATATCCAGTAGTGCTTTTACGTTTTTCCTCACCACCTCGATACCTCAGACTAAAAAGCACGCAACTCATCGGCGCGTTTCGAAGGGCACGTAGTTCAGCCGCCCGTTTCGAAAGACACGCAGTTCAGCCGCGCGTTTCGAAAGACACGCAGTTCCTATCTCTATAGCGGTAAACTGCGTGCCTTTCGAAACGCGCGGCTGAACTGCGTGTCTTTCGAAACGGGCGGCTGAACTGCGTGCTCTTCGAAACGCGCGGATGAGCTGCGTGCCTTTTAGTCTAAGGTATCGACCTGTTTGAGCATAATCAGAGTCACTGTAAGCGTAGATGACATTTATTTCTGGAGAGTTGTCTGAGGAATAGAAAATGCCCAAATCTGTGGTGCCCTTCAAATATCTGAGAATCCTCTTTACTTTTGTGATGTCTTCTTCAGTTGGGTTTTGGATATGTCTGCTGGCAAAATTTACCGAGTATGATAGGTCTGGTCTTGTCTTGTTGGATAGATAAAGGAGGCTGCCAACTACCTGTCTGTATTGGAAATTTGTTGGTTCATGTTTTCTTGGATGATTCTGCACCTGCTTTGAAGAGTCCATAGGAGTTGCGACCATCCTGCAATCATCCATGTTGTATTTCTTGAGGACTTGTTCTGCGCAGCTTGTTTGATGTAGACATATACCACGCTCTGATTTAGATATTTGAATACCAAGATAACTGATGGGCATCATATCTACAGTGATTTCGAAATGTGATTTTAATTTAGTCAGCAGCTTTGTGGTAGCTTTTTCGTCTGAACTTATAGTGATCCCATCATCTACATGGATAGCAAGCAGAACAGTACCTTCTTCATTTTTCCAAATACATTTGTCAACTTTGATATGATGGTAATTTTCTTCCTTTAAAAAGGCAGACAATCTTTTATACCATCTTTGAGAAGATTGCTTCAATCCATACAATGCCTTTTTTAACAAACAGACTTTTCCTGGCTCATTGTATCCATCCGGTAGTTCCATAAAAATCTCCTCCTCCAAAGTGCCATGTAAAAAAGCAGTCTTGACATCAAATGTTATAAGTTTCGAGTTCTGTTGAGCTGCCAGTGCTAAAAGGGCACGAAGGTTTGAAAAGTCTACCACAGGACTGAATATATCTTCAAATTCTAAATCTTGTGTGCGCTGCTGGAATCCTCTGGCTACCAGGCGGGCTTTGTAGATGCCGTTATCTTTTATTTTGAAAATCCATCTGCTTGTAACTAATTGTTTTCCTTTTGCCCTTTTGCGATCTACTAGCTTCCAAACATCATTCTTTTCCAGTGAGTTTTTTTCTTCCTGAATTGCCTCCAGCCATTTTTGATCATGCACACATTCGTTGAATGTCAAGTTTGCTTCTTCAATTATAGAAAAATCTAGTACATATGTCATGTTGGCTTCTTCATCAGATGAATAATGTAAGATATAATCATCGAGCTTGGATGGAATTTTACAGGAACTTCTGTCTCTGAGCGAGTATCTTGAATGAGGGGTTTCTTGTGCTGTGGTTTCGACATGAACAGATTTTTCTTCTTCTTTCTCTTCTTCATTTAAACTCATTTCTGCTTCTTCTTCATCTACACTCATTTCTTCTTCATCTGACATGTATTCATAAGAAACGGTTAACTCTTGTGTTTGATCTTGCTCCAGCAAAGTGTCTTCATTCTGATTTTTTGAATTGTTTGTAGGTTTTTCGGAGTTATTATCTTGCGGTGTTTCTTTGGTGGACTCTGTGAACATTTGACAATCGTTCATGATTATTTTTATCTCATTTCCAGTTGTGTAGGCTGTTTGGGGTTTCAATTTGTCTGTGAACACCACATCTCTTGCCATAAAAATTCTTCTGGTTTCTTCATTCCACAGTCTATACCCATTTGTTCCATACCCCACAAAGAGAGATTGTTGGGCTCTACTTTCAAGTTTCTTCACATAGAATAAGGATTTGGCATAGACTACTGTTGATATTTCTATGTTGGCCATTGTTCACTGCCTTGTCTGGTGCTCGTCAACTTGTCGACTGTCAATTGTCCCACCTTATATATTTGAGCTCCAATAAACCAGACGTCACTTCGCTGTGTGAACAGAATTGCTGTAGCTTCTATCAGACACTGATCAGACACCCAGTTCCTGTCTCACCATTCATCTGCTAACAGGTTACGGACCCAGCACGCAGTTTCCACCGCTGTCATCAGC